TGGTCACGCACAAGCCAAATCCGTCACAACAACTTGGGTTTAAGCGACGATAGAAGTAGATAGTTGAGCAGGTAAAATATGTACGTACATAATTAGTTTGTTGAAAAAAAAAATTGGTTCTCTATCGGTGTTCAGATAGGTATGTGATGGTTGATTACCTTTGTGGTGCTGAAGCTGCATTAATATTGTACCTTACTCTAAAATTTCGTGGTGTTCATGGAAGCCTTCTCTTAAAAATCAATACCAAAGGAAATACTTTTAAAGCCTCGCGGTAGCGAAACTAAATTTTGCTTGGAGACTTCCCTTTAAACAATTTTCTGAGGGTTCAGAATTTTTCTGTCTAAAATTTTTATTTTTTTTTGTCGATAAATATTAGGGTATTCGATTATTCGCTGTTTTTCCTAAACCGGTTTTCGAGTTATTCAAAAAATTTTAATTGGGAAATTAAGAAAAAAACGGATAAACCGGTTTTTTTTTTATATATAGTTTTTATACAGTGGAAATGCTTACCTTGCTATGAAGTTATGATTCCGAGCCAGCTTGTCTGCGACAGAGTTGCCCGGTATGTCCCTATGTCCTGGCCCCCATACAACTAGAGTAGAGTAACTCTTTGCCAGCTCATATAGAGTACGTCTACATTCCATGCCAATATTTGCTATAGATTTGTCACAATTAAGTGCTTTGATAGCTGCCTGGCTATCAGAAAAGACAGTTACTGAATGTAAATTAATAGGAGAATCGATCAGCCGTCTGGCAGCTTCGTAGATTGCTATTAGTTCAGCATGAAAAACGCTACAGAAATCTGGCAGTCGAAAAACTGAGGCTAAGTGAGAGTTCTTGCGAGTATACCCTACTTCCTACCATCAGATCTAGCTGGAACCATCGGAGTAGAGGGCTGCTGAATCAGAGTAGAAGATCAGGACTGAATCCTCCCCCCATTCGCCCCTTGAGGGGATCCTTGTTTGGAAATGATTCTTATTCTTTAGTCCAGTAGACGGGACTGTGTAGTGCAGGCACCTGAAGTCTGCTGGAAGATCCTCCAAAAATCTGGAGTGTCCGAATCTCGTATCACTGCACTTGGTCAGCGCATTTAATCTAATAGCATTACAACTTGCCTGTAGTTTACCATATAGGTCCACATGTAAAAAAAGGAGGAAGGTCTCTAGGACTTTAGCCGGCGTTGAGGGCAACGTCCCCGTGATCATGATGCACGCCAGCTTTTAAACCTTTTTTAGCCTTTTTTTATAGTAGATTTGTCCACGGACGGTCACCAGACCGTGATACCGTAAAGTAGAATGGGACGCACCACCGCAGTGCCCATCCAGCACAAGAAGCAACGAAGAAAGACAGCACAAAAACACGCTGCGTTTGCTTAATGACTATCTTGTTATGATCCTCCTCATATAGCCACATTTCCTGTGTTAGTTCTACGAAACTACTATTTAAGAGCATTGAAGGACAAAATCGTTCCCAACAAACCATAACAAAATCACCTGCTAAGTACAAAAAATCCTACTTTCTTCACGCTTGGAACACCAACACACTTTTTACTTATGTAATGCTCGCATTTCAGCGGCGTTCTAAGCGTAAATATTTGACGACAAACATCGAAGCAAGAACAAGCGCCTACAAAATATATTTAGTGCAGAGAATATCAAGCGTTGAAAGGACACCCTTCGCTCTAAGTATGACAAACAAAACAAAAATTATGCAACGGAAGCAGGTGCCACAGCAAACGACAGCAACATGACTTAACAAGCATTTAAAAGTACCCACATACAGGAGGAAAAGTAGAGGAGGTGGAAAACATGAACTCACGACAAGTTGATTTTTGTGGAAAATGAGAGTTTGTTGACCAACAGCGAAACAAGAACTGCTCGTGCAAACACCCAAACATGTTTATATGCATTAGATATGCACATGAGGTGTGACTCTACCTACTGCATTTATGCAGCTAGCAACAGCAGCAGGCTTGTAAAACACGTCAGACGGAGATTTTACTGATGTTGGCTGCAAGAATGCGGTTACACGCTGGACATGGTTGCTCTGGCAAGGGCAGCCACCGCATACCAGACCAATGAATAATCTGACCAGAGATATGTATGTATGTATGTATACATAAAGATTTGCCAAAAGTAGCACATTTCGGAACGAACGGTTTCAAAATTTTTAGTATTTTCTTTACTCAACAATTGAGTCATAACAAATGTATTTGGCTTACACTAAATTTTGCGATTGTAGTAAATATTTAAAATAAAATTTTATCAACTTTTAAGTTCCTAAGGCTATATGACACAACAAAAGTGTCGGTCTAGATACATACGATTTTAAGACTTGTAGCCTGCAACACTGTCCTAACCTGTTCCTGTCCTAACCCTGTAAACATTCGGACTCATTTTAGAGTCTGGAGTGTTTCAGAGTTCTGAGCTCAAGAAAGGGTCGTAAAAGAGCATATTTACCTTCTTAGAAGGGCACGCCAATACGAGTCCAAATTGGAAGTCTAAAGTTTGACGGTTTTTAGAGTCTTAAAACAAATATCTTTTCAGAATTAGGACGTCAGGATGGTTTTAAAAGAAACTTTGAAAGTTATGATTAATTAAAAAATTATTTAAAAATTTCAGTGCAATGTAAAAAAAAACTTTGTAATAACTACTTGCTTATACGGGTATTAAATTAAAGAGAAAATTCTTTAAATTTTAAAAAGATAAAAATTTGTGCTGCATAAGGATGAATGGGTATTAAAAATGTCCTTTAAATTTTATCCTTGAATATCCTTGAAAATTTGCAATACTTATTTTTTTTTTTAAATTATATTTTAAGGACATGTACACACATATACCCGACGACATCCTTGAATTTCTTCCTTATAACTTCATTAACCCTCGTCCGTGCGACTAGGTACAATTGTAACTTTTGCGTTTTTAAATTACAATAACTTTTTTCCAGAAAACTTAGAGGGCTGGATCTTCGTGACATCTCTACATTTTTGTTGCGCCACATGTTCCCTTAATTTAAAACAAAATGGGCCACTATTTTCTGAAATAGAGTTAAATTTACACCCACGTCAGAGCGCATAGGTACAATTGTACCTTCATATATCTGGTGTGAAGAAAAAAGAAGATTATTATTATTTTTAATTATATATAATTTTTTTATAAAAAAAAAGAAACACAAACGGAGCTAATTCATATAAGAAGCGATAATAAACTATATAAAAAAGTAACAAGCGAGACAATTCAATTTAGGAACAACGATTTAGAATATACATTTTGACATTTTTAGAGAGTTTCTTCGCAAGAAATACACGTTGTTTTTGAAACTGAATGTTCATCACAAATTGGATAAGCACAAGATATGCAAAGCATTCGAGTTTTGCGTTGTTTCCTATTTGAGTTCCGACAGATATAGCAACGTCCAGTGATAGGGGAGGCTCCGCGGCTACCATGAGGTAATTGAAGGACAGCTGCTGTAGATGCCACAACGCGACGGTCAAGTACCATTTCTATTGCACTTCGAAGGAAATGGCTTCTCATCATCATTCGATTTGCACTTCGAGATTCAACTGAAGGCATGCATAGCTGATTGGAGAGATCTTTTAGAAACTTTCGACGTTGATTTTTTCCCTGAAACCGGGGGTTATGATTTTTGTAGATTATGTAGGATGCTAAACCAGAATTGTGATCGCAAGTAGCAGCAAATATAAACTGAACCAAATAAACATCGTATTATTTTTGTTCCGGTCAGGGCTGCCAACTATCCTTAGCTATTTGGTGCCATATTAAGGATAAAAAAGTGCCAAAATGTGCCAAATAGAAAAATAAAAGTGCCAAAAAAGGTGCTATCCTTTATAACGCTTCCCATGTAGCTAAAAAGAACCACATTTCTAAAACAAAAGTGCAATGCCATAATAAAATGAACCAGTTGAATAACCTTTAGACATTAGAAAATTTTAATTGAGAAAAAGAAGTACACCCAAAGTATTTCACAAAAATATTTTGAAATATTGCTATTTTTCAAAAGTGCCATTTTGGCACTTTGTGCGAAATTGAAAAATTAAGTGCCATTTGATGTACAATATTGCCAAAAATGGCACGGTTTGAGCCAAGTTGGCAGCCCTGGTTGCAGTGTATATGGCACACCAGTATGAAAAATATTGAGTACATACATATGTATGTATGGAGGGTACATATTGTTGTGGTGTACTCGTGTATTTTTCGGAGTGCATTTTATGCAGGCTACTGTGTTTCTATTTTTACTTTTTTTTAAACAATTGTCATAAAAAAAATTTCTAAACATGTTCAAAATAACGTGTAATGATTAAATGTTATCAGTTTTTATAAAAAAATTAAACCCCCAGTAAAAATTCATATCAAAACTATATGAAGGTACAATTGTACCTTTGCGCCCGGTTAGCGTTGTAAGAATATGCGTCCGGACGAGGGTTAACTTAAAAATATAAAATTAATTAAAAGGTCCTTTTTGATACCTATTCGTCCTTGAGAACAAAACAAATTATTTTTTTATTCTAGAGAATTTTGTGCTTCATTTGGCACCCGTATTGTTACTCCACATTGCATTGCATTTTTTAAATAATTTTTTAATTAATCATGTCTATGAACTTTCTAAGTCCTTTTAAAAAATCCTGACATCAGAGAGCAAAACTAAAAACGGTGTTGGCCTATAGTTTCGTGAGTATATGGATTGTTTCGTGAATTTTGAAATTTTGTGGGTTTTGTGACACGCTGTTAATTGTTGATGAACATTAAACTGGAATCAGTTTTCAAATATTTTTAAATTCAAATTTATTCACTCATTGTTCCAATTTTTCCAGTTTTGATTTTAGTTTTATAATTATTCACGACTGCATCCGCCATTTTTAGTTTTTAAAAACTGATTTTAAATTTGTAATCAGCAACCCCAAAAACCATTGAATACGAAATTAAATAAAGTTTATAAAATCACAAGGCAATATTCTATTGACCGATTCGATTAATATACAGGATCTGCTCTCGAAGAAGGACTTATTGAAGGTACGAAAAGACATTCCGTGGGCGTTGGCAATATTTCCGGATTCAGATATCGAATCTCACGGAAAGGTCACTAAGCGCCAACGATTGGTGGATGGTGGTACTCCGGAAATGGCACTAGAAGCATCCAAAGCGCACGTGGCCTGGTATTTTATGCATCAATTCATGGTATTTCAAGACGCATTGGCAAAGGCTGCGATCGATAAAATAGTCCACACCGAAGAACCTCCGATAGGTGTTGCACGTCGAGGAAACCCATAGCGACAAGAGTCGGAAGCTTAAGTACCGGTCACACCATCGGATCCAAAACATATCTTAGCAATGCTTCAACAAATTCGCACACAATTGGAGTGTGGTATTTATCAACAAGATCCAGCTTCGCTCCGCAAAACATTGACGCGCCTCCACTCTTTCCCATCTTCGACTGTAAACATTCCATCTGTGTAAACATTCGCCGAGGCAGCCATCGGCATGAAATCACGCTAGACTTAGCCCTCTACGGTTGCTCCGAAGTTCAACTAAAAATTGGAGTCTGGGATCACGTTCAACCGAGTTCGCCGTTTTCTATTCTAAGGGGCCGCCTTTATTCGTCTATCTTTTTCCCCATCTTCGTTTTGTTTGATGTGTGCGTCTATTTATCTCTTCAGTGTCTAAGGAAGAAACGAAGCTAGGCTGGTACATATATTCTTAGGGGTGCGCTTGACCATTCCTACCTGCCTTCGGCAAAAAAACCACCCCCACCAGCTTACAGGACATTAGAGCATAACTCAGACTGTTATGAGCACACACTTGAATAATATACTCAGCCAACCTCTAGTCTTCGGGCCCTCCTTCCGCGCCATCGCAGGGAAGATGACATTTAGATCGGATGACTTTTACTATGAAAATCGTGCGTAGGCACTGAATGGAGTCAGAATATTTCCCACAACTCTGCATTAGGGTGCCTTACAATATCGGAAAAAAGTATACAGTCTATCAAACTATGCGCGTAAATAAGTTTCATTTCTTAATAAGTTTGGAATAACTTTTGTCCAATAAGTACTAAAAAAAAAAGACTTTCCAAGACACTACATTATTCTCCTAAGACTAATTTTTTGTAATTTCGGATATGTCTGCTTCATTTTATTTAAATTTTCTTACTTTATCCAAAAAAAAAACTTTCTCTTCTAATATGTACGTATGTATGTATGTATGTGTATACGCCAACAACTTACACTTTGTCGCAGATTAGATTGGGGCGTCATAAGATATTTTTATTATACAAAGTAGAATAGAAGTAAAACGCGAAATTGATAGCGAAACCCACAAGCTACTTGACAGCTTTCAACTCAAAGCCATATATATCTAACAAGCACACTAACAAACTCTTTTATGTACTCGTAGATGTTGTTTTCACCATTACTTCAGTTTAAATATTTGCAGATTCTGCGTCGCAAGCCATTGTGTTTGCTAGCTTTGCGCTGTCACCTATCCATAAATCGGAGTGCTTAAGTCTACGGCTGAGCCTTGCACACCCGTTGCTCGTTGATCGCTTGGTGTCTGTTGTGGCATTTGGTTGCGATGCGGTGCCATTGCGGCGCATTGACCGCTTTTCTCTGCGGCATGCGACTGCACTGATATCAGATACCAGATGTTAAACGCCAGATGCCAATGAGCGTAAATGCAGGGGCGTAATTCACTTTCAATATTTTTATGTGTTTGAAAAAAAAAAATTTACAAACATACATACATACATACATACGTACATGTACAGTGATTCACACAACTGACCACACGTTTTTTTAAATATTCATCATTTTTCAAAGATCATATAAATAAAAGTTTCAAGTTTTTTGAGTTAAGAAAATTCATAAAAATATCAGACATTTTTGGGTATGCAGTTTATAGCCCATACAAGCGATTAAAAAATCGAGCTGGTTTTTAATAATTTTATTTTTCCTCGCGGATTTTTGCCCATATAGTTATTAAGCATGAACTTCTTATGAAATAAAACGCGGCAGACCGTTCGCAACAAAATTTCAAAAAATCAACGCCAGTCGAAAACAAAAAATTCTTAACAATCAACGGGATTTTTTAAGCGGTTGAAACTTCATTACACTAAAATTTCATGGGCTATAAAACTGCATACCCAGAAATGTTCTAAAGATGCAGATTTAAATGTTTGTAATTTTGATGAAAAGTTGTTGAATTTTCCAATATTTTATAGAAAAATAACCAAAAAATTATTTGAAAAATATTGTGAATATTAAAAAAAATAAAATCAAAACGTGATAATTTGTTTGAGTCACTGCATTTGTGCTTATGTACCTAGATATATATGTTAAATATGTACATTAGGGTGGTCCAAAAATGCATGTGGGGAAGGAGTAAAGTCAGAATTTTTATGCTCTCAGCCCATAGGATTGTTCTATATCGAAAAAAATGTACTCAATTTTTTTTTTAATATCAAAAAATTTTTATAGGTCGCTCAAAACGCTTAAGTTTTTCCATGTATTTTATTTGGGGGAAAAAAACTTTTCGTAGAAATGGCACAGAATTCTTGAAAATCAATATTTTCCGGTCGGGAAACTCTGTTTATAATCAGAAGATTTCCAATAATAATAACCAATTGTTTATTTAACCACTTTTAATAGTAACTTATATTTTAACTTTGAGCGCTTGGAGCGAACTCTAAATAACTTTTGATATCAAAATCAAAAATAGGGATGTATTTTTTCGATATCTATAGAAAAATCTTAGGGAGTGAGAGCATTGAAATTCCGACTTTATTATTTTAGACCACCCTAATGCACATATATCTCTCTTTCGGCTGATTTGTTATGATTTGCATTTCATTCTGCGTTTTTACGGTTGTTATCGATTACTAAATTAGTTTTTGAATAGGCGAAATTAAGGCCATAGGTTTATGTATTTTATGGATGGAAGCGACTGCTGTGATTTCCATCGGCAAAATGCCTAGTGGACTCGCATATATGCATGTGTACATGTCAGTATCGAAAGTATGGAAAACTGAATAAAGGTCATTATTTTGGTTGCTTGAAACAGATTCTCTATGAATTTTCGTAACAACTGCCGATGTGATATATATTTTCTTTGAATTCGCATGCATTTTCCAATCGTGCTGGTTCACTTTGTTCATCACAAATTTTCTTTTTGTCTTAAATGGGTGGGAAATATTTTTGTGAAATAAACTGGTTCAACAGCTTCACAGCTTTTACTGACCCGACCTCTTACACTTCAAAGATTTCAAAGAGCATACATACGTTCACGCATTGCTGCATTGAATGCGATCTTTAAATTGTTATTCCTTTCAAAAAAGATCTAATTCAACTTTCGACTAGCAGATTATATTTACATACATACATACATACATACAAATGTACATGCAAATAAATCAGCTTCATTGATTGCTTTCTCGGCCAGTGAAAATTTACATTTATGTACATTAGACTGCATCACCAAAAAAAGTTGCGGTTTTTCCGTCGGGATTACAAAATGTATTATATTTTAAGACGTCCACTAAAATATTTCGGAAAAATATTAAGATTTAAGCGAGCTGGACCGATTTAAAATTACCTCCACAAATGAAGTTTTTTATGAATAAAAATAGTTTCTTAAAGAACTTTTTGAAAAAAGTCCCCTCAGATGACAAATTAGAATAAGCTTAAAAAATCTGCATAAAAATATTTAAAAATCTTTTCAACGGAATCGTAAGAATGAGATTTTTGATGCTGTTTTTTTACTTTTTTCAAAGATTGATTTACGAAAAACTTGAATAACTGGGCCAAAACTGTTCTGATTTAGACTTATGGGATCTCAGTAGAAAAGTATTTTCACACCGTTTTCATTTCTAGCCAAAAGAAACGTCATTCGTGTCCCATCTTTTTTTTCGAATACCAAAACATCTTAATTCAACTTTGAATGAGGTTCGTTTCTCCTACCTTTCTCTTCCATCCTTTGAATAAGTTTATTAGCAAATAAATGAAAAGGGTGAGAAAATACCTTTCCAATGACACCTCTTAAGTCTAAATCGGAAGAGTTTAGGTTCAGTTATTCAAGTTTTTCTTATACCAATCTTTGAAAAATGTTAAAAACAGCATCATCATTACGATTCCGTTAAAGTTTTTTTTAATATTTTTTTGATATTTTTATGCAAATATTTTAAGCTTAAATCGTTTTGTCATTTGAGGGGATTTTTTCAAAAAAAATCTTTAAGAAACTATTTTTATTCATAAAAAAACCATTTTTGGAGGTATTTTCAAATCGGTCCAGCTCACTTAAATCTTAATATTTTTCCGAAATATTTTGGTGGACGTCTTAAAATATAGTAGATTTTATAATTCCAATGGAAAAATAGTACCGATTATTTTTTGTATGGGGAGTGATGCAGTCTAATGTACGTATGTATCCGCATGGTGGTTTTGACTGTATTTGCAAACATTTTCCATTGTTAGTGTGGGAAAATAAAGATTTATATATGTTACACTTGTTTTTTTTGGGCCATTGCGCTAATAATATTTTCCCATCGAACTAAATAGAAACATTTTGTTGTATTGAGATTCTCGTTTCTGCAAAATACATTTTTAGTATGTACGCATATTGCGTTTTCATTGCCTGGCTCTTAGAATTAAAAAAAAAATGCAAAAAATGTTTAGTCATAAAGTCAATGCTATTTAAATTTTTAACATAATTTTTTTGCAATCTAAAACCTGGACATAAATTTTTGGTACATTAAAAACACACTGGTCGGACGATTTTTTGGTAGATTAAAATATTGGCAAAAGTTTTGGATAACTGAACATATTTTCATTTAATTTATTTTTTTGTAAAAAAAAACAAAATTTTGGCCACTTCAAAACCGGTTATTAAACTCTGGTCATTTGAGAGCTCAACATAAATTTTTGGAAATTTATAAACTTCCCATAATTTTTTGCTAGTTACAAAACTGGGCACACTGGAAATTTCAAAACTGGGCATACATATGTATGTAAATACATTTTTTGAAAGTGGATACAAAATGTTTGGTAATTTAAAAACTTGTCATTAAGTTTAAGTAATTTAAAACTTAACAAAAGTTTTTGATATTTTAAGCATAGGTGATGAAGTTTGCGCCAACATAATTTTTTGGAGAAAATTGTTGGTAATTTATAAAAGGGACATAATTTTTGGCCAGTTGAAGAAGTGGCCATGATATTTTTGTGCTTTAAAATCTGGTCATAAGGTGTTGGTCATTTAAAAGCTGTGCATACATTTTGACCAAT